ATATAAGTCTTCTTTTCTGCTGTCTGGCGAACAACAACCACGGGGTCACGGGTCACGGGGTGCGAGTGTGTAGTCCCCTGTTCCCTGGACCCACGAGGACTTGTCGGGTGTCGAGATGTCGAAAAGCCGTACACACCTAACCAGCGTCCACACTCTCCTATCTATGTATTTTGACAGTAGTGCATGTCCACAAATCTTACAATCTTGCATAATAATTGGTAATTGGTACATTGGTAGTAGATGGCATCAACTGACCAAGCGCCTGGACGAAGCCAAGCGCCAAGCGCGCCTGCATATGTCGAGTATAGGGACGACAAGAGGCGTGCATAATTGCGAGCATAAACGAGGAATTTTGTGCATAACGGCGTGCATAAGTCGCCAAATTGGGCTTATGCTCGCGGAAAAAAACGTGCATAGAATTTTAAGCAAACGTGCAGAATAGGTGAAGGCCTAGTTTCAGAGGCTGGAGGCATGAGCCAGGTTTTTCGCAAAGTCGGACCAAAACCAGGTGCTGCCATGAATTCCTCACGGACAAGCAAAGCTGAAAGCTTTCGAGAACCAGTGTAAGCGGGGCTAACGGCACCTGAGCTCAGGATCGCGTGTGGCAGCTTGTGGACGGCGGAACACGAGTGAAACAAAGCAAAAAAGTGTAGAGTTGCTCGGTGTGTCAAGTGCCCGGTTCTTGAGCAATGGGCATTGAAATCGCTTCGGCGCGGGTGCTCTGTCAATGTCCGTGGGCTTCACACTCTACCTTCGCGTTAAGGCAGGTTGAGTCGTCGTCCTCGACCACCTTCGTGCACACGTAATCGTGTCTCCAGTGCCCTTCAAAAAAGGAGCCGTGAACCAATGGACTCTCAAAAATGCTACGGTGTTACTGTTTTCGGCCGTGATGTCTTCTGGTTATCACTCCTTCGAGTTGATATCACCTGTAGAGTGAAGGCCCCGTCTTTTGTCTGGGTTCGGTTCGATGGGTTGTTTGCGCAGATATTCCAATACCGAAAATGGTCAGATCAGATTGTCGAGTCCAAGGGAGAAATACCGAGCAATGGGCCAAAACACCTACAAAGCAAATTGTCGGCGTTCTAGAGTACGAAAAAAAAAGGTGGTCCCGGAAGCTCACAGATAATGATCTCAGACAATCGGGAGTCATGTGTACCTTGCGCCCGAATCCCGGTCTGAATCAGAGTACATCCAAAATTGGCCACGGACTCCGGCAAAAATACAAGAAAAGGGGCTGGTCTTTGTGCCGATTTTCGTATGTTGCTGGTCGGTTGCGGGGTAACGTTCAGGCATATCGTACCTTATACTTCGTCCGAACTGCGTCGAGAAAGGCGATGAAAAACAAAGCACGACGCCCATTGCAATATGAATCATTGCAATATCAACTACAGCAATGCCTGGTCGACCTAGAGAACCTCGTCAAGACCCTCGTTCCGACCTTGTCCAAAATTTCCCAGGATTGCTACCACATTCGTCGGTCCCTCATGACATTAGAAATTAAAAGAGCATAGGTATTCAGCCGACCCGGCTCTAAGGACTCTCGCGTCAGCCAAAATCCACGCGTGAAGGGCGAAAGTTTTCATCTTGTTCTGAAGAGCAGGTGTTTATACGGTAGTTATTCACAGAAACCGGTCTTCCTATTCCCCACCGAACACCATCGAGCTCCCTGTAGAAGAAAGTAGAACACGACTACTACACGACTACTTTTGGCTCGATCGGTGCTGAGTGCGTCGAGTTATGCATACCAATGCATGTGTGCCGAACATATGTCGGATTGGGACGTCCCCTCGAGAGGCGAGGAGGTGTAATTCGTTGGGAACCGCTTAGGTTCTCCTTGCTGCTAACTTGTTGCTGGTGAAGCTACGCAAGACCACGAGGGACATGAACGAAGGACTACGGTGAAGAACGGAGACACACACAAGGGAGGAGAGAGACGGTGGGGGATGACCTACACTACTGCTGCTGGCTAACGGCCGAAGCCCAGGAGGAGAGGACCGTACAGTTGTGGGTCTCTCGGTTGTGTTGTGGTGGTGCTTTGCGTGCGAGATTCATAGCGAGCGGCGGTGAGGACAGCGCCGGGCAACATCCAAGACTACACCCTAATCTGCTACTGACGGCGCAGAGAGATGGGCGTACACAC